CCTATATGGATGCATTGAAAACTGCACGCCGTTTCAAGCGCGCTGCAAACTTGAAGGTGAACCGAATTGTGTTTGGCATCCATTAGCTATGTTACGCTGGTATTCGTGAGACCATGGCCCTACCCGGTTCGAGCCGACCCATTCGTGCTACAACTATACTACTAATATATTTGATTCTCTTAAAGAAAGAAATAAATTCAGCACCCGTCGTCACGGGGGAAAACACTCGAAACGTCGGAAATTTAAAAATCAGGTAAATTAAACGCGATAAAATCCGTAAAAGTAGTTTTAATCAATGTGTAGTGTTCGCGTAAATATAGGAGGGGAAAAGGAAATCATTAAGGAATATTTTAATAAGGAAATATAGTAGCAATAAACAACACCGTTAAAACGCCGTCGGTCTTACACAACTGTCGCGTGCTTACGCATTGCATAATCTCTATTCATTCTGTAGTATTAATCGAGTGAGATTGTTAAAAAAAAAGTGAAATTGTTGACCAGCGTGACGTTTCTCACGGCAAGGAAGCGAGTTCAATGAGTTACGTAATGGTTATCTATGATACTATCACCTTTTTTTTCTTTGGTAGTGGACTCGTACTATTGTAGTTTTGCCAGTGTTAAGTTACTGATAAATTATCGCGTCAAACTTTGAGAGATTCTCAATTCAATTCAATTTATTTTCTATAGTACTACATGAGGGTAACATGGTCATTCGGTTAATGTGGTCATTTTCTTATAATTCAAAAACGACAGCCTTGTTTGCATAAATCAAAGGCAACTGTGAAGTGAAGAAAAACTGTTTGTCTGGAGATTTTGAGTTTTGTCGGGAGTCTGGAGATCATTTAAAATGTCGGAACAATCCAGACGAATTCCGACCAGCTGGCAACCCTATTTCGAACACATTGATGGTGTTCTCATTTTATTTACATAAATTGAAGTCGTTTGTACAAAATTTTTAATTTTACCACTTGTACGTCTTATTTTTATTTTAACAATAATTGTACAGGAGCCGGTCAATTTCCCGCCAAAACTGAATTGTTGCTATAACTCAACCACGGAGTGAATGAGGTGACGAAATCTCTTACGCCGTTACACCTCGTTGCTCTAGTGATCACAAACACGGTTGCTGGTCATGAGGTCCTGGGTTTGTACCACTGGGTCGCGCCAAAAACTGTAAATGGGTTTTTATGTCAAGATTCTCAGTAGCATCACGGAATTGAGAAGTTGGCGGTGTTTCCACCCCTGTGCCTCGGAAAGCAGGTAAAGCCGTTGGTCCTGCGCCTGATCTCTCTCCGGTCGTGTCGGTTTACTGACCCGGACTATGAGAGTGAGGCAATAGAGAGTGAACCTGTGTTTGCGCATGCACTTGGGCACTATAATCCTGTCCTGCGCCGATGGCAATTGTTGCCCGTTAGTCTCACTGGTGGTCCTTCACTGCTGGCCGTATGAGGACGCTCAAGGTCACTCAGCGAGCTATGGAGAGGCTATGCTCAGAGTTTCTCTGCGTGATAAACTTAGAAATGAGAAACCAGTGTGACCGATATGGCCCAACGGATTAATAAGCTGAAGTGGCAATGGCCCGGCCATATAGCTCGAAAAACCGACAACCGATGGGGAAAGAGGTTCTCGAGTGGCAGCCTGGTAATGGTAGGCGTAGTGTACGGCGACCCCCCACTAGATGATGTGACGACCTGGTAAGACATGCAGTAAGTCGATTGCTGGTCAACCGTGCTTTGTGGCATTCCTTGGGGGAGGCTTATGTTCAGCAGTGGACTTGTGAAGGGCTGTAATGATGATGATGATGAATGATGAATCCTGATAAAATTCAAAAACGGGCTAAGCCGATTGTGTGGAAATTGTTTGTGTATGTTTTATTGGGTCCCTAGATCGTTTAGATTCACATTTGGACCCGGTAGGTGGCGCCGTTTTCGAGATTTAGAAATCACCCTTGCGAAGCCGGGGCGATTAGCTATTATACAACCTTTCGTGGCTTTGATTCTCCTTCACGAATCAGGTACAAGCTGATTAAAACCGTCCATACCGAATGTTAATGACATAATCGAAATAACTCCAAGGTTCGGACCAGTCGAGTCGAATACTAGATTCAATGGCGCGGAGGCTGATGTAAATTTTATTATCTGTTACTTAATATTCCTGTTTTCTAATCTACTAGTGTATTATTACGTAATCCGTCATACGCTCAGAGTAAGGCTGCTTGCAGACGAGACTGCAATGTTGAATTTTTTAGCTGACTTCAAGAAAGGGAAGTTATAAATTTTACTGTACGTATGTTACGCGATATCTTCGTCAACCGTGAACCGATTTTGAACTTATGCTGGAGGTTCCATAGAAAGGGAAAATTTCCACCTCTAAGTGCGGTAAAATAGGCTGTGATTAGACATACAGATTGTGGTATTCCTTAGATGTCAAAAGAGTGAATCAAAATGGCTTTTAATAAAATGTCGACTGCAAACAACTAAAAAGAGTTAAATAATATACTAAAGTTGGAGTGGGAGAAGCCGTGGTAGTTCAGATGGTTATCGATCGCTGTAAATTTCACAATACGCTAGTAACCCGGGTTCGGTCCCCACCGGAACCAAAAAAGTTTAAGTTGCAGCCTATATACGTCCCACTGATGGGCACAGGCCTTCTCTCATTTCTGAGAGGGTTTAAGGGCAAGGATGTGTCCGCCGCGCTGCCCCAATGCGTGTTGGCGAACTTCACTTCTTTCTACTTTCAGGCGGAGATCGAAACCGAGTTGCTCACGTACTGTGAAATTTACAGCGAGCGCTAACCACCTGAACTACCACGGCTCTCGGTATGATGAGCAGGTACCAATGAAATTGTTATTTTAAGTGCTTTTTTACCACGTACGCGGCGGTGAAGGAAAACACCGTGAGGAATTCTGCCTGTCTGAGAAATATGAAAAAATAATTTTTCAAAGACATGTGAAGTTCACCAACACGCATTATGGGCAGTGCGGCGGACAATTCTTTGCCCTAAAACCCTCTCAGAAATGAGAGGAGGCCTGTGCCCAGAAGTGGGACGTGTATATAAATAAAATAAAGTCAATTTATTTCAGACAGAGTCCATATAAGGACAAAATAAAATATTACATTATAGTAAAATTAATCTCATCTAATTTCATTTCATTTTGTTCAATTCAAGTCAATCTAATCTAATCTATCTAATTGAATTTAATTTAATTCATTCTTATTTAATTTAATGCTATAAATTTTACTTAATTCGTTGGTTTAACATAAAAATTACTTAATAGTACTTCAATAATATTAATTTACAATTTAATTCAAGTATCTGCCAACCTCTGGGGCACCGGGCACATGCATTGTGCTTGTACCGAGTGCCGCAGAAGGGGGCAGTCAGGCTTGTCACTGAGCACGTTCAGGATGGTTTTGGCCATGGAGGTTAGAGAACAGGAGAACGATCGCTACGTGCTAAAGCCGGCTATGGCCGGACTGTCCTTGAAAATAGTAGAATTTATATCCGCGTGCCGTCTGTAAGTAGTAACTGCGAAGTAATTTTTTATTTTTGACAAAAAGAAATACAAAAAATGGTGACTTCATATAAAAATAGTAATAATAATAAATCAATAATAATTAATAATTTATATTTGTAATAATTTATGATATTTATAATAGTTAAGATTATAAAAAACATAATTTATAATTTATTTATTAAATACATAATTTTACATATTACATATATTAATACAGATTAAAATAATTATTTCGTTATTTTCTTTTTTTTTATTTGAATGGTATTATAATCATTTTAAACAGCCCGCTTTTATTGAGACAACTTAGCGATCGCAGATCCTCACTTATTTTGTCCATATTTCTAGGACACTATTTTCTACAGCGATCGTTCTCCTATTCTCTAACCTCCATGGTTTTGGCATCCCTCGCGTACGGAACAACAGCGAGGCTTATGATATATGTTAAAGTCACAGCCTGTATAGGCTGTGACTTACACATCATAACAGCGAGGCTTATGATATATGTGCCTATACTAGGCTGTGACTTTAACATACAAAAGTCGGAGATTTTGTTCAACTATGCATACAATATGTAATAGAAATTACTTCAGAATATGAAGTTATTATTTTATTTGTAGACGTTGTTGTTATGGATTTAATATTTGAACGTGCATCTGCGGATTCTGCTATTTTTAATGGGTGCGCCATATTTGCTTTAAATATATTTTGCATATTTTAGTTTTAACGCATACCAATTACGGCAAAACATGTTAGTTCAACATTATTTAGCATCTTATGTATGTTTTATGCAAATAAATTTTCTATCTATCTGTCTATATGGAATTAATTAAGTTTTTTTTAAATTTAAATATCTACACAATATTCTACTAGTGCTGCCATCTGCCGTGCATTGTCGGTAGACATGTTTGTTTGTTCTATGGTTTTAAATTAAATTTAGTGTGTGATACTCGTCAATGCGAATACGTTGTTTTATTTTAATAACCCTTTAGTGGCGGTGTCAGAATATCCACCACTCGTGGGTGTCGTAGGAGCCGACAATGTGAAACTGAAGCAGAAGTTTAACAAAAATAATGAAAATAACTCGTGTGTTAAGCGTGGCCACTATGGCAAAAATCCTCTTCATGAATCAATCTAGGTATTAGGAGGGGCATTTTTCAGCAGATGATGATAATAGGAGTAAGGCTTATAAACATGCACACAGTCCACCTGATGAATAAACCCTTTTTTTACTGGAAACGAGGCATTCCATCTTAGTTCTCAGGGGTGGCATCGCATCTGCATTTTGATTCTTAATCGAGGATAGACGTAGATGTCTATAGACTACAGCAACTACTTACTATCAGGTGATCCGCGTGCTCGTCACCCTTATCCTATTTAAAAAAAGACACCGACATCTACTCTCAATCAAGAATCAAAATGCAGATTCGTAATCACCCATGATGGCAAAGATATAACGCCTCGTATTAAAGATGTAAAAAAATATTTAGCCAAGATTAAAAATGAATTCAAAACCATATCCAACATATTCCTAAAATTATTAGAATTAAAGAGGGAGTCAAAAATGTGCAAAAAGTTAAAGAGCATCCACTGAGGCATAGATATCAAAAAACTTTTATTTGGAGCGCAACTTTTCACTGCTATTGATTCCGTCGAAGTTTGGGCGGTGAAACAGTGAAACTGGGACTGTTTCACGACGTTTAGCGATGCCATTTAGCGTTTACGTTCGCATTTGCACCATTTTTTTAAAGCAGTAAATAATTTTATATCTATCTATCCTTAAGGGGAAATATAACCTTAAATGGCTTAGCAAGATCCTTCGTTATGCCGAAAGTATTGCAGCATTAATTTTGAAATAAATATATGGTAAAGTTGAGGATTAATGTTAAGGATTATGTTAGACGAAAACACGATTCCGTAAAATTTTCTCGATAGAAAAAAAATCCGAACTTACCTCCAAAATAAACAATAAACCGCTGTTATTCATAAAATACTTTAAATAAGATCATGAAACTTTGCATACTAACTGAACTAACTATAAAGTCCTTATGTTTTTCACTTTTTGTGTACCAAAATACAGTTAGTTAATTCTGTGATTATACTTTTTTAAAATACCATTATTTTCACTGTAAAAAGAAATTACCTAAACTATCGGCGTCTTGAAGCTTGATTCCTGTCGCCCCGTTAGTATCGCTTCGGCTTTTGAAGGGGGAAGTTGTGTCGCTTACGATCAGAATACACATTACGCAACAGGACGACGTAAAATTTTAATGGGTAATAACCGTGATAAAAATAAGAAGCGACTGGGTTGGCGTTAAGAAACAGGCATATATATGATAAACCTAATGAAATAAGTATCTAACGACCTATCTACTTACAGTATCAGTGATTACAAACATGTCGGTACATAGCATACGACGCGCGGGGAAGTGGGGGCGAAATTAGAATTTAAGCTGACTTACTATATCCCCTTAAGTGAATGACCACGCGGTTGTTTGTACTTTACATTTTAATCCTCAACAACAGCCATCTGGTGAGTTATCACTAGGTTTTTTATTCTTTTATAGAATAAGGGTAACAAATGAGCGCACAGCCCATCGCATCTGCTATCTATGAGCCACAGCATTTACTTACACTTGTAAGTAAATGCTGTGGCTCATAGATAGCAGATGCGTTGTCACCCCTGGGGACAAAGATGGAATGTCTCTTTAAAAAGTAAAAAGGGTCTCCGTTTCCCTACACTCAATATACGAAACACAGCAGCATCAAGCTGCTATTTTACGCAGTTATTCTGTGAGAGTGTGGACCATAGATAGCAGATGCGTTGTTACCACTGGAGACTAAGATGGAATGCCTCGTTTCCAGTAAAAAAGGTCTCCGGTTCTCAACACGTACCATACTTAACAAAGCAGCATCAAGCTGCTATTTTGCGCTGGTGTTCTGTGAGAGCGTGGACTCATCTCGGTGGAGCTGACTCATTTGTGCTACAATAGTAATATAGCTGCAGCGTGGCTCTACCACGTGAGGTTTAGTGTGTAGCTGCCCTTATGGAGGGACAAAAATGGCGGACCACTAGTCGCAGGACAGCACTTCTTAAATCAAGGTCCGATTAAACCAAACAATTAATTGTTCAGTATAAACGATTTAATATTTCTAAAATTAGTAAGTCAGAACGTTTAGCTAAATATTTCGTATTTAATGGGAGCAACCTTGAGACCTCGTAAATAATTGATAATGGCGGACCTTCATGACTAGGTATTAGTGATTTAGATGTAAGGTTGATTGTATATCGATGCAAAATGTCCTAGATTTATCTGTGGACGAATAAATTGATATTATTAAAAAACTGGCCAACCGACTTCGCACGCGTGATTTCTATATTTCGACAGCGACACCTACCGGGTACAACTTTAATTAAGAAGCATCCAGGTTCCAACATCCAACCTCATAATCAGATTTTGTGGGCTATAGACATACATCTATCCTCGGTTAGGAATCAAAATGCAGTTATAATAAAGATATTAATAGTTACTTTCTAACCATCCGCTAAATTAACTAAAATGATGTGCCTTCCCTAGTTTGAAGAGCAAATCCCGCCCTCCCTCAGTTGCGTGCACTAATCCCGTCACCACCAATCCCAGCAACACTACTCCCAACACCACTATTCTAGGAAAGACACACCAGGGTGTAGTGGTGCTGGGATTAGTGGTGACAGGATCATTTTATTTAATTCAGCTTGCAAAATAACTATTAATATATTTATTGGAACCCAAGATGCAAAATCAATCGGAAGTTTCGAACTTTCGGAATCGAAATCGAACCTCTAACATGAGACACATCAGAATTACCTATGCCATTACACGCTGGTATTCTGTGAGAGCGTGGTCTTTCTCTGTCGAGACGACCACTTCGTGCTACAGCCATAAAATAGCTGCAACGAGGCTCTATCACGTTTTCTGCGTAAACCTTCGTTCAAAAATAATCGAACCTTGACCGCTCAAGTACTGCAGACTACACAAGTTTTAGTTAATACTTGAATCTAAAACCGCTTACCGCTTAAGCAAAATACCGTTAAAATGCACCACACGCACCACCTTGAACAATTATTATTTTCCGTGTTTGCATTCAAAAGTTTTATTGGATAAAAACAAGGTTAGAATTAAATTAAATTGTTATCATACCTTGATCGAAAGTTCGTATTTTGACCCTACTTTCAGGGACGAAAGTGCCTCCCGATTCAATAACTTATTCATTTAGCACGCATGCGCTAAATTTCTAACTTTATTGTTGTATAAACATCAAAAGTATATGTTATGATCATCGATCACTAATATAAACTAAATAAGGTTTTTATTAGTGATCGATGGTTATGATACATTATAAGGTACATTCATTTCGGTCAAGGTATAGTATTTATTTATTTTTATTTCATTTTCAAACACATGTTTACATACAGGAATAAATATGATTACAATTAAAGAAAATAACAATAAGTCAATAAAAATAACATGTAATAATAAAAATTAAAACTATGTTGTAGCTTAATAATGTAGAATCTACAAAATAAAAATTATAAACTCCTACCTAAACGAAACTACGAAACGAAACTAAAGTACCTGTGTTTCAGACCATCACTTACACTACGGGTTTTATAATGTGGGACATAAGATAATTTAAATAATTAAACTAATAAATTATATATATAATGAATTAAATAACTAAATAACAATTATTTGTAACCTACAATTAATACAAAAATATTTTAGAACTTCTAACAACTTCTAAAAAATAGTATACGCACAACGAGAGGAAAGTGTGACATCGCAAACCAATGTTAATGTACTTTATTCCCTAATAGCGTAATATACTATTATTTAGAAATACGGTAAGGCACTTTTTAGGGTTCCGTAGTCAACTAGGAACCCTTATAGTTTCGCCATGTCTGTCTGTCCGTCTGTCCGTCCTCGCTTAATCTCTGTGACCGTTAGCACTAGAAAGCTGAAATTTGGTACCAATATGTGTATCAATTACGCCGACAAAGTGGTAAAATAAAAATTGGAAAAACATGTTTTATTAGGGTAGCCCCCCCCTATATGTAAAGTGGGAAGTGATTTTTTTTTTAATTTCAACCCTAACGTGTGATATATTGTTGGAAAGGTATTTAAAAATGAATAGGGGTTTACTAAAATCATTTTATGATAATGTCAATAATTTCGGAAATAATCGATCCAAAAGTAAAAACCAATGCCCCCCCCCCCCTCTAACTTTTGAACCATAAGTTTAGAAAATACGAAAAGAATCTGAAAAGTAGAACTTTATAAGGACTTTCTAGGAAAATCATTTTGAACTTGGATGTAAACAACAGTACCCACTACCGGGAGCAGTTGCAGGAGCGCGGAGCGCTGCTGGAGCGCGATCGTAATGGATACCCACCTTTAAACTCATAAGTGGGAACACTTATTGTGACGGACGGGAAACTACGGAACTCTACACCGAGCGTGGCCCGACACGCTCTTTGCCGGTTTTTTTGAATTATGTTCTCCTGGTCATGCATGGATCGACACGACTAGGAAAAACCGCACCCTCCTAAAATGCTAGTTTAGAATAACATCAAAATCCTGCCGCCTCTCGTATCTTAAATGATAACCGAAGACAATGGGTTTAAAGTATATTTTACGAGTATGTATTTCTGTACGCTGTCCATTTCTTTGTCACGCTCTGTAGTTTAAACGGCTTTTAATATGTGGGGTACGGATTAGGCTTGCCAACCATACTTTATAATAACGTATCCTACTTTATTTTTGGTAATTTACTAATAATACTTTATACTTTTACATACAAATAAAGTATGCAAAAAATACTTTATTTTCAACCTTTTGCTGTGATGCGTAAAACATACTCATCATGGGTACTTAACGATTTATAATTGCTGAACGAAATGTTACCTACCTTTCCGATTCACGCCAACAGCGCCAACAGTGATTACGCTCGCGACCATGGCACGGTAATATTATCTATACAGTATTGTAACTCGGCCGCATCTTTGAAATAAATGCCTACAGCCGCGCGGTACATATACTTGCGATCAGGGCATGCATTATTCGTCCAAAAAAGGTATTCGGATTTTCCGAATAACCGAATAAAAAATATCCGAATACTTCGAATAATACGAATTTTACGAATAGTGCTTAAGTTTATGAAAAGAAAAATTATTATTACTTAAACATTTTAATTAGGAACCTTTTTAATCATCCACACTTACTTAAAAATACAAAAAATTACTTTCTTGTGCGGACATAAAGTATGACCGCAGGAAACTGAGGGCGTCTAACGTATCGTCATTGAATGAACATCTCAAATGATTGCAAAAATATCTATTAGCCGAAAATACACGTTCTGCTTCAACGCTTGTAGGTGGGATGGTAAGTAAAAAATCGTAAACAAGTTGTAGATGAATGCTTTTAGGGCCACTTCGATCTAATAGCGCCATTTCCACCCTGACAGACAAATGTTTTGTTGATACCTCAGCAGTATTGTGCACGGATTCATTAACTTTTGTCTTTAACTGTTCCTTGAATGTCTTGGCTGTCTCCTGTTCCCTCTCATCTTCAAGGCGCTGCTGTCTTTGTATTTCTCTTAAAGGCAGGCCATCTTCAGCTTCAAAGACAGTTGTTATCTTTGCAAAAATAAGTCTCATTGATTTTTACAATTAAGGCTATTATTTCCGCATGGGATGCCTTTGAAAATGCATGAAGAGTATTCCTTTCGTCATAATATTTTGTAGGATTATGTAAGTACTGTAACGTGCTTACCAGTGTAGCGTTTCTCCTCTGCAAGATTCTTCTATTTAAAGCTTCTTTAAGCTGGCCACTAATAACGTCTGGATTCATCGCCAATTTTTCCATCATGAATTGAAGTGCAATTTCTGCGATTAGTAAGTTTGATTTTCGCTCGCAAAGTTCTTCAACTGTGGCCTTTATGAAATTGAGAGAACTAGACATATCTTTCAAAATTAATATTTCAGTATCTGAAAAGGTAGTCTTCTCTTTGAGATCAATTAATGTCTTTTGAATTGCGTCTTTGAATTCTAGAAATCTTGCTATCATATCAGCAAGGCTGCTCCAACGAGTCTTGCAATCGAGGATCAGTGTCGTGTCTTTAGATTTGGTCTCCAGGTAAGAATTGAGTATATCCATGCGAGTAGGCGAACCTTTGAGAAATTTTACTATTTTCCGGACTTTAGTTATCAATTCTTTATAAACCAGCTTGGGAATGACCCCACTGGGGTCAGCTTCGGTGCCAAAACGATTTTTATCTTCGTTCTCTATATCACTTTCGTCCTCAGAGTCAGAGCTATCGCAAGGTCTGTTAACAGTGATGCCGGTGTTACCTTCTGTGTTATCAGCTTTGTATAGCACGTCCAGGACAGCGCACTGAATACCATGGGCCAAGCATAATTGATGATAAGAGGGAACCATTCTCCCTAGTGCGCACATTACGCTTGCACCGTCAGAGATTATGCACGAGATATCGTTTTGTATTGACAAGCCGTAATATACCAATTTTTTGTTCAATATATTATAACAGTTCTCTGATGTTCCACGGCCCCTTATTTTCGTCAGTCCCAAGTTTCTAATACCTTCAGAAAGCTCTGATGAATGAACATTTACGTTCACATATCTGCGATTACTTGCACTTGTCCATTCATCTAGGCTTATAGCCAATTGTTTTCCTGCTGTCTTAATATCATTAAGCTCCTTTTTTACTTCTTTTTTCAGTAGCTCACTTTTATTCAGAACCTTTTTCTTTATTGTATTTGGTTATTTAGGCAAATCTTTGCAAGCAGCTTTTCCAAATAGTTTTCTCATTGATTCCGAAGAACAGAATATTTTAAAAGGTACACCATCTACTGCTGTCATTTTCGCAAGTATAGTATCTAAGTCATCTTCTTCCTTCACATGAAAAAAGTCATATATTGTTTTAGCCTTTTTTTGTTGCTGGCGTCATTATGACATCGGAATCTAATGACATATCTTTTTGAGATGTTGACGGAAGTGAATAGTTAGATGTTTTTTTAGCTAACTGGATAGAATGAACAAGTCTAAGATTATTATGCAGGCTTGAAGTTGTTCCAGAGGTTTTAAATACTTTTTTACACATCTTGCATTGAGCATGAAGGCCATCTGATGTCCGCAAAAAATGTTGCCAAACAGAAGACTTATCTGCAGCACAGCGAGTATATTCTTTAAATTCAAGTTTATTTTTTTCATCCATCTTTAATCTGTGGAGAGAGAAAACACAACACCAAATATATTTGTTAATAAGTTTCTTCAGAGATATATAAATATTTGGAACTGCTTTAGAATTTAGAACCAATTTAGAATTTGTTTTTGGTTTATGTTATTGTTATGTATAAAAACACCAAAACGAGATCAAAAATGGTAAATCACAAAAACAGCACATTCCAAATTAACAACCGTTTATTTCACGTGCTTAGTAAAGCTTGCATTATGTTTATCTATCGTTAAAAAAATATGATAGAAAAAAGCATTTTATAAAATAAGTATTTAAAGCAAAAGTGTGCCAATAGGAATTGCAAAACAAATAAACTGCTACACAAGCATAACATAACCTATAAATTAGAGGTAGATTAAGCATCGTCCAATTGGAATATCAATAATAAAAAGCGGCGCAATGTAATTGTTAATGTAGATTACCTACCTATCATCTAAGTTTAACTTGGGTAATTCGATCAAACCAAATACTATTATTTGTTGTTGAAATTCGTCACAACTCACAACAATATCGCAAAGATACGAAATGTAAAACCGTTAGCACTATGCATACATGCTAAGTAGTTTTTTTTTCATATTTTCGGCTTTGGCTACGTGATGAATGATCACCCACAATCGGATCCACGCATGTTTTTCACGTAACTTAGTAGGTTTACGTTCGGATATTTTAAACAAATCAAAATAAGATAGTATTCGAAATATTCGTAAAAACCGAATAATTATAAATATACTATTCGAATAATAAACGAGGCGAATATCCGAATAATTTGGATATCCGGATATCCGAATTGCATGCCCTACTTGCGATAGGGCTGGCCTGCCTCCAGCATTTTTACATTTGCCTACTTTGTGTTTCCATTTAGTTTTATGATTGTAAATATACTTTTTTTATATAAACAAATATAATAGGTACTTTGTGAATTGAATAGGAAGTGTTCAATAAAAATTCGTGTCGTTTTTGATTGGTAGATTTAATTAAAAAACCATGTTTATGTTTGAATAACAAATCGGTCTTATGAATTTGCGACCGAAAAATATTTGCGCCTCGGCTGAGACGTACGAAATGATTTATTATTAAATTTTTAAGTATAAAAAAATCCGCATTCTAATATAAAGCTTAATTAAAAATTGTTTTGAGAAACGTGGAAAAAGGTGGAGAAAAGGAATATCTTTTACTTGGTTATAGAGGTATCTATATTCTATACCAGGTAAAAAATATTTTACAATTTATATGTTTGGTTTTAAATGAAGTTCAGATTTATTATTTCTTTATTTCTATTCTATTATTTATTTCTTCCATTTTTTTATATATTCCACAAAATCATCACTGCGGCACAGTCACGACTGTCTGCATGCCGAGCGCATGCCGAGATCGAGGCGCGTAGGCATAGCTCTCGCTTCGTCCGTTTGTATGGAGTTGGAGTACTGTATAGATAAAATTACCGTGACCATGGGTAGCGTTAGCGTTGTCATCAGCGCGCTTACGGTTGATTCGGAACGGATTATTGGCGCTGACAGCGCTGTTGGCGTGAATCGGAAAGGCCTATTAGATGTCAGATGTCAGTTGTGACGTTTGTCACAGATGTCTCTCACTATCGACGAAATTGTACAAAACTGGTCCGTTAGTTTTGTTTATAAGTGAAGAATGCATTTTAAAGTAAATATTAATGCTGAAAATGACGAGTAATTCTGATAGCGACACACCAGTGACTCCTAAAAAAGCTAAAATAACTAAAAAAAATATATATTTAAATTTAAACGTTGATTGTCAAACAAGCTTTGTAACATTTAAAGATTTTTAGACATTACATAACATTTAAAGATTCATTTTAATCTGAAATAAACGTTTTATTATTATTATTATTATTAAGACAACAAAAAATTGTTAGCATGTGCTAAAAACACACAAAAATACGTGTTTAAAGCAATAAAAACATAAAATTTGAAAAATACTTTTTTTTCTTCCTAATACTTTATTTTTTCCTATCCAAACCACTTTACACGTTTTTTTTGTCAAAAAAAGTTGGCAACCCTAGGTACGGTACGGTAAGTTATCTAAGTGACGTAGAATATATAGAATTTTTCTTTTTTCTTTCTAGTAGGTAGGTACCTACATTTTTTACGCAGTTAAAAGTATTGAAATATACAACATTCCATCTGAAGATTGAAGTACTGAAGGCGTTAAAATATACATGAACGTTCGTAGTGAGATATAATTAATTCGGTTCACCTGATGTGGTAAGTGAACGTTGTAGCCCATAGACATCTACATTTATCCTCGGTTAAAAATCAAAACGCAGATGCGCTGTCACCCCTGAGGACTGAGATGGAATGCCTCGTTTCCAGTAAAAAAGGATTTCCGGGATCTCTACACTAACCATACGAAACACAGTAGTATTAAGCTGCTATTTTACGCTGGTATTTTGTGAGAGCGTGGTCCTTCCCGGTCGTGCTGACCCATTCCTGTTACAACCATAATATATAGCTGCGGCGTGGCTCTACCACGTATAAATCTATGCTAACACCAAATAATTGATCTCAATTTTTCTTATAATTTATAGTGCCGGCTGGGATCCAACCCGAGTCTCTCACGTAGTTTAAAATTGACGGCGAGCAAGCGCTCTCTCATTCCTTTCATCAAGCGTCTGAACACATATTTATATATGTCCAACTTTACCGTTAAAATCTATTAAAGTCGACTGCTAAACAAAGGCAACATAGACCTTTCCCATAGATTACGTTATAGGTAGGCTTGTGACAGTTTTTTTGAACATATATAATAATTTTCCTAAAAAGGATGCAAAAATATAGTACTTTTGAGAAATTCTGGAGAAAACAAGTACACATTTATTAATCTTTATGTTGTATATATATATATATATATATATATATATATATATATATATATATGACACACCACTACCAACACCACCTTATTTAACGGTCTTCTACGGACACTTTTTAGGGTTCCGTAGTCAACTAGGAACCCTTATAGTTTCGCCATGTCTGTCTGTCCGTCTGTCCGTCCTCGCTTAATCTCTGTGACCGTTAGCACTAGAAAGCTGAAATTTGGTACCAATATGTGTATCAATCACGCCGAAAAAGTGGTAAAATAAAAATTGGAAAAAAATGTTTTATTAGGGTAGCCCCCCTATATGTAAAGTGGGAAGTAATTTTTTTTTAATTTCAACCCTAACGTGTGATATATTGTTGGAAAGGTATTTTAAATGAATAGGAGTTTACTAAAATCATTTTTTGATAATGTCAATAATTTCGGAAATAATCGCTCCAAAAGTAAAAAACAATGTGTCCCCCCCCCTCTAACTTTTAAACCATAAGTTTAGAAAATATGAAAAAAATCTGAAATGTAGAACTTTATAAGGACTTTCTAGGAAAATCATTTTGAACAACATTACCCACTACCGGGAGCAGTTGCAGGAGCGCGGAGCGCTGCTGGAGCGCGAACATAATGGATACCCACCTTTAAACTCATAAGTGGGAACACTCATTGTGACGGACGGGAAACTACGGAACCCTACACTGAGCGTGGCCCGACACGCTCTTGGCCGGTTTTTTTATTAACAACACAGTCTGACACTATGTCAGCGACAGCTAGCGACATCTAGTGAGCGTATTATTAGATCGCATTGACGTCGCACACGTTAGACCTCAGTTATAGTGTGCTTTAGACCTAAATTCATATTACGTCATAGGCCTTAAGCTGTGTACGGACTACGGTCGAGTCACAATCAATTTCACTTTCTCCACGCAGCGGCGTCTGTAAAGGAATTTCTTAGTTGCATAATATATCTATGTGACGTATGACGCTTAGATACTATAAGCTGTGCCCGCGGCTATGCTAGCGAAAATTAACAGCCTATATACGTCCCAATGCTGAGTACCTACAGGACTCATTAATATTTTTGGGAAGGTTTAGGAGCAGAAGTAGTTCTCTCATTTCTGAATGAGTTTTGGATGTTGAAGTTGATTTATCTTTTGTGGCAACGCAGACTTCTATGTTTGTTTTAATTCGAACAGTAACCATGCAGCTCACCTGATGGTAAGTGACTACCGCCGCCCATTAACAACTGCAACACCAGGGGAATTGCAGATGCGTTGGCCTCGACCTCTAAAAATTGAGTGGGCTCTTTTCTTAAAAGTCCCTAATCTGTATCAGTCCGAAAAATCGCTAGTGATAGGCGATTCCACAAGGAAGCTAAACTGTAAATATATTTGATTTCTTAAATTTACGCGAACAATGTGTGGCGTTGAAAACTTACGGATTATTTTTTTATATTGAAAATTTACGGATTTTATCGCGTTTAATTACAACTTTAATTTATTTTTTATTATCCCGACGTTTCGGATGCTTTACAGCACCTGTGGTTACGGTAGGGGGTGGGGGAACTGAGATGTTTGACGTCCCAATATTAATTTTTGGTCCGATTTACGCAAAACGAGCTTATAGTATCATGAACTCTTGCAGTGGTATGCTTGGATTTGAGTTTAATTTTGTTAATTATAGGATCCCAAGCAGATGGCAGCACCCAACCATCTTCTCCATTGAAATTTGGATGTTTTTTAATTTCAATAGCCTCGCGGATTTGTGGTTTATCAAATCTAATGTGATTGTGGGGACGATCTGAAACATGTTCGCGGACTGCAGACTCTCCTGAGCGTCAGTGCTTCACGTCAGCTCTATGTTCCTTCACGCGCGTTTTTACAGATCTTTTTGTTTGACCTATATAAGAGAGATTTACAAAAAACAATTTACAAAAAAAAAAGTCCATTGCGCTATATCTAAGCGAGTTTGCAGACTTAAAGTGTCGAATATCATCGTACATTTTTTTTCTTTTTCTTTATTTCTCAGTTTCCTCGGTATTTTCCTTGACGGACGAGTGCGTGGAAAATCTTCACTTAACATTGCTATAAACAATTTCACTACTGCCGGTGCAACAGGGACTTGCTTTCTATACGTAT